ATATATGCACGTTTTAAACGTTAAAATTTTTGGTCTATTGTATATACTGTTGCGTATGTTTTATATATATATAATTAAATGCTGTTTCATACCTATAAACAGGATGTTACCAGTACAAAAAAGAGATTCTACATATAGAAATAAATCGATGAAACAGAATAAAATGTTATTGTAGGATACCTTATCTTGGAGAAATTAATATTAAAATTTGAAAATTCAACATCAATATTTCTCTCTACTTTTCGTGAATGATATTGTTATAAAATTTTTATAATATAAAACTTATCGAATTGCATAAAAAACAACTATTGAACATACATAAAAAATGCAAAATTTTATCGAAAAAATAAAAATAATTCATTTTTTTATAATATCTAAAGTAATTTAAATTAAAAATGTTTTATTAAAAATGATATTACTTTATTGATATATTTTATTGATATATAATAATTGCTATTGAAATAAATTCAGTATTATATGCATTAATACCGGTACAAATAATGCTTAAAAAAATACAAGGATAATAATATTAATTTTCTTATCTTCAAAATATTTTTTCGAAAACGGAAATAACTCCTAAAAATATTTTACTCTCTGTTCTCGATTTATTATGTACAATCATTTTTTCTATTATTTTTGCACTGAGAACACCTTATATATCAGTATTAGCGTTTTTACTTACTTAATTTCTTCATGGAATTACAGAACTTTTTATGTATCCAGACAAGATATAACTGGATTAATAAAGTGGAGCAAAATGGGGAGGTGAAAAATATGTTAATCAATCCCAATTATCTGACATGAACGCCAGTCGATGACGTTTATCTCCTTTGTGTATCACATGTCGCAATAAAGTTGATAATACCGAAATTTGATTCATTTGTCATTGCACGTTCCATGATAAATACGATACAACTATAACTTTAAAAAAACAATAAAGTAACTTATTTTGCGAAATAATGATTAGTATAATAAATAATATACCGAATTATATAAAACTGACTAACCAAATTAAAATGTGCTATGTGCAACATGATTGAAAAGTATATTATTTTCCACGCTTAATATCGCATTTCTAATGCGACATTGTCATCAACTGCCGCCTTTACTCCATGGCTGTTCAGTGGCGGATGCAAACATCAAATAGAAGCAATTCGTAGCCATATTTATTCCCGCTGCCATCCAGAAAACTGTATGCCAACGTGCGAGGGTTTCCTGTAATATAAGAAAAAAAACAATGTACATACATCCTAAAAAATGCTTGAAATGAAAAATATGACAAATATACTAACGTGTCCCTCTACTATACTGCCGATAACATATGGTGCCAAGAAACCACACGCGTTTGCCGCGGCATTTGTTAATCCGTACAAGGTACCCGCATAACGTGGTGCTAATGCGATGTGATTCATCTGATTTCCGGCATACACTGCACCCTGAAGAGAGCCCAATCCGGCAAGCATCAACATCACCGTCATACGATCGCATCCAGCCCAGATAGCACCGACGAAACTGAGACTGGGTCCCAACGAAGCCACCGTGTTCCACAGTTTGAACGAGGCCAGAGGTGAAATCAAACGACGAGCTAGGAGTGCATCCGCGAAACTCGAGATACAAAGACCCACTAGCCAAGCGCTCAAATAAGGTAACGCCGAGAGAAATGCGTTCTGTTGTACGTTCAGATGCAAAATTTTATCCATATACGTTGGCAGTTCGGTCAGAAGAGTGTAGAAGGCCCAGGACTGGCCGCACTGCGTAATAGCAATGGCCCATATAGGTAGAGAGGTGAAGACGGACAACCAAGGTACTCCCGCATCATCGTTCTATTGTTTAAAATTTGATCATCAAGTACGATAGCTTCGCAGAAATATTTATATCACACTCACGCGCGCACACACACACACACAAACAAACAAACAAACAAACAAACGTAATATTAACCTCGTCTTTTTTCTCGACGCTAGCTTCAATATACGCTTTTTCGGAAGGATCAATGTTCGAATGTTGTGAAGGAGTGTCGTATATGAATATCAACCAGAACACATACCACACGAGACCAAGACCACCGAACAGATAAAATGCAAGGGGCCAACCGCCCCATAATTCTAAAGAACATAGCCAACCACTCACTGGTAATGAGATGACAGTTCCGAAATTCGCACCTGAGAAAAATATCATAAGTAATTCTTGAATATTTTTTTTACCATTAAAAGGCAAAGACAAACAAGTTACCTGCATATACTAGAGCAGCAAATTTACTTCTTTCTAATGGAGGTACCCAATGTGCCAGCATACTGTGCATCGCAGGGAACGTTACCCCCTATATATCACATATGAAAAAGTATTAATAATTTCCATAGACATTTATAGACATGTTGTGGAAAGTAGGATATTTACCTCGGTAAATCCTTCTGCGACTCGTACAACTAAAAATGGAACCAAACCCCAATACGCAGCGAAGGGACTTATCACGGTTAGAACAGCAGTCAGAAACACTCCCAGACCATAAATTAATTTGCCACCCATTTTTTCAGCCATCCTACCACCTGGGACATTTGTAGTTACATAGCCAAGAAAGAATGCACCTAATATGATACCTTGAGTCTTTTCATCCCAGGCAAATTCTCCCGCGCTCTGAAATAACATTGAAATTAATTTCAGAGTGTAACTAATAAAAAATACTACAATATATGAATTCACCCCCACAGGAATCTAATTAAAAATTTATGTGCACATTTTAATATATTATAAATTAAAACAATATTTAGGCACATTTCTTTTTGTTTAAATACTAATGTAAAAAAATTCCTTTATTAAATAATGTTTAATGATAACATTAATATTCAATGAAATAAATTAAGAAGCAACGGAGAAATTATCAACAGGTTCATAATAAATATTATTATTATTTATCTTATTATTTAATTCGTACACTATCCCATACGTTATATTTCCTGTGCCAAGTGTTGAGATATTAATAAGATGGACTCATATCAATATCATGCATTAATACAAAGAAGAAATAATATAGTGTATGTACGTGTTACATTTGTATATTTAAGTGTGATAAGTTTAAATGACTAATGTCACACGATAACTAGTATCTAACTAACGTAACAACAGGAATGATATGTATATTTAAAAACTAATATGATATAAGAAATAATATGATAAATATATAGAATAAAATGATATAAAAATTAATAATTAAGATTCAGATAACCACTTAAAGAAAACAATGATAGATTTACCGGTATGAAAGTCCCGTTTATCGGTTTAGTTTTAGGACAAACGTCGCTAGTATCATTATCCTCAGTATGCGGTATTGCAGTCTGATTAACCATAGAGACGATGGCTACTGATAAATTCACCCTCATAGCGTATACAAGGGCAAAGCCAAGAAAGCCCAGAAAACCGAGAGTGTGACGCGCTTTGATGCATGATTTAGTGTCTGCCGGAATCTGCGATGTGTTAACTAAAAAAACATTACATTGTGAACATATATTATCAATAGAAAAGTTGAAAAATATTACTTATGAATAATCTTGAAAGAGAATGGCAAGACCTTCAATTACGTAATTTGGCTCTTCCAGATATTCTAAAAACATTTAAAAAATTAATTTGTCCTGAGAAAAAATGTACTAAATTTTAATAAATATTTATTTGTATAATACTAACTTACCATTTATTTACAGTAAATAAATATATTTACTAAATAAACGAATGAGTTAAATGAAATTAATAGTTCTTGTACCAAAAATAAACATATATTTATTAAATATTCTACTAATATTTAAAGCTACTACTATTCAAACAGATGTTTATTAAAATTTAGTACATTTTTCTCAATGTATGCTAAAGAAATTAAATCTGTGTATTTGAAATATTAATTGACAGCTGTCTAAACAGATCTATCGAAAATTTCTTATCACAGCTGATGCATTATTGTATAACTATAATCACATTAATATTCCCAAAAAAAAAATTAATCTACTTTAAAACAATAATCAATTCTTCATTCTTCTCCTACTCCTGTGAAGTGGTAAGATAAAAAAAATACGGACGTAACTTGCTTTGGCACAAAATAAATCTGACGTACTCGCGCATTGACGTCTCTCGCGAGGGGAGGAGGCGGAAAGATGAAGAAGGTCGCAAGATCAACGCTATAGATAACAGATCGTTTTTCACTTCCGCGATATTCACGAACATCTGTCCCGCGTCATCGTCGCATTGCTCACGTTATCATCCCTTTGTTTCCAAACAATGCACGCGCGACGCTGACTATCTCTCGCGCGTGGACAACAACGTATAATTATGTGAAACAGGATGACGCATAATGGCCTCATAAAGGTATTCGACGAGATGTTTTCTGTGGATTACCTCGCTCCAGAGAATCGTTGATACATAACGGCTGATCGTCCCTGGAGACGCTTGGGTCCAGGACTTCCATGATGCAGTCCTGGATCGTTTTGTTCTACAGCGATCCCGTACTTTTACGATGACTCACTCTCGCGCCAGGCATAAGAAATAACGCTTTTCCGCTCGCTCCAGCGTGTCCGCACGGTAACAGGTCGTCACGGCTGCAATTCGAGTCCGCTGTCAGCTTTGATCAGCCTGTCATCATCGCGCGAAGCGGAGTACGGTATACATGCGAGAGAGTGGGACGGTGGGATGGATTTTGGACATGCGCAGCGTGAGAGTAACAGACAAGAGTATAGTCTGAGGGCCCTGAGGATCAATTGTGTACTTTGAAATGAGGTGGAAATTATAAAAATGACCCATTGAAATCAGCGCCTTATAGGTCACAGTAAGATGTTGAACTACTGACTTAATATACATTCAATAAAATTGAAAGTATATAATTAATTTTTCAGACATAAATTGAGAGCCGATGAAATTATCGGATTCACACAATCAATCTGAAACAAATAATCCCCCCAAATTCTCCCAAATCTTAAAAAACTGTAATAAACTTACTTACCGAGACTGGTCTCGGTAGTCTAAAGGCTCAGGACGCTCGCACGGAATGTAAGAGATCCGGGTTCGACTCCCGACCGAGGCAATATTTTTTCGCAATAAAATTATTACAGTTTTTAAGATTGGGAAGAATTTGGGGGGATTTATTAATTTCAGATTTATTGTGTGAATCCGATAATTTCATCGGCTCTCAATTTATGTCTGAAAAATTAATTATATACTTTCAATTTTATTGAATGTATATTAAGTCAGTAGTTCAACATCTTACTGTGA